GAATCTCACTGCCCAATGTTTTACCACACGCCCCTGCCAGGCGGCAAAAACATTGGTTGGAGCCCTCAAAAGTCAGATCAAGGCCAGTTGACCAGATGGTAAATTTCTCAGGATGTCGTCCCCCTCCCCATTTCCTTGCTCTGACATGACCGGGCGTGTCAATCACTTGACAGATGGCAGCCGATATGGCAGGCAAAAAAGCTTCGCTAACAAGGCAAAAAAAAAAAATATGTGCAAAACAATTTCCATTTGGTTTTGGGTTTTTTTTTTTAACACAACAGCCTGCCCCTTCCAGAGAGACTGCTCTTCAACACAAACACAGTTCAGCCTTCAGAAATCAGGAGAGAATAGACTGAGGGGGGGTTAAGCAAGAAGAATGAGTCATTCAATTGATGTGGAAGCTAATTGAGACATGGTTTATTCTAACAGATGCCTAATTTATTTCCTTAAATTGGGCCATTTGGTGTTCAGGAAGGAGAGAGAGAAAGGGGGGTGGACGGGACTGGAATATAGGTCAGTAGATAATATCAGTTACTACAGCTGGCAATTTGAAGGAACCAAGTAGGGATGAGGTCAACCTCAACACCAACCAGGCCTTACACAACCCTGTAGGGAAGAGATCTGTTTCCAATCTGAAAGATAAATAATTCAGAAGCATTCAGAAGTCCCCAATTTCCTCAGATGAGGGCCTGGCCTAATTGAAGATGAATGAAGAACTTGCCTCAGGCAAGTCGAGGTAAAAAATGTTGGGAGAAGGAGGTCTATGGGTCATATGATCTGCCTTCTATCTCCTAAGATATAGGCTGCCATCTTGAGGGACAGTGGGAGATGTTGCCCTCCCAAGCTTTGAAGAAAGAATCAACAGCCAGTTCAACCAACATTTCCACATGGCAAGTTATTGCGTGTAACCCAAGGGAAAGGGAAGAATTAAGGTGATTAGTATCTCACCCTGTTTTTAAAAAGGAGTATATTAGTTATCATCTTATTTTAACGACCCCATAATCCCTTGTGGGGTGGAGTCTGGGCAACTGAATAGAGCTAGCAGAGTGTTTTAATGGCCAGATGCCCTTCCTGTTGCCAATGCGGAGTTTTGTTCAGTGGATATATTCTCATTGTGCCCAGAGAGAGAAACATCTGGCTCTACCTAGGATTGAACTCACAGCCTCCTGATTGTGAGGCAAGAGCTCCACCTCTAGGCCACCGCACCACTCCTAAAAAGGAGTATATTAGTGACAGCCAAAAAAAAAAGAAAGAAAGATGTTGTAATTCTTTCCGACTGACACTAAACGAGAGAGCTCCCTTGGGTGAGCTACAAAAATGTCATTTCTCCTAGTGGTACAGCTACTCCTCAACTTACAACAATTCATTTAGTGACCATTCGAAATAACAGGGGCACTAAAAAGTGACAGGATCATTTCTCACATTATGACTGTTGCAGCAGCCCCATGGTCACGTGATTTCCATTCAGACGCACGACAACNCTGCCCCCAGAGATGGAGAGCTGGGTGCGGGAGTGTGGAGCAGAGACCAGCTCTGAGGCGCTGGACATGGCTGAGGGCTTCCTCCTGAGCCAAGTGGAGGAGCCGAAGGAGCAAGTCGAGCTTCAGGTGAGAGGTCTTCATCTTCAGAGCTCAAAGGGGGTCTTACATGCGTCTTAATATATGTCATCTATGGAGATTCTCAATCATCTAGGTCACCATTTCGTTTCTCATCCAAGAAACTTCTGAAGAACTGAAGAAGCTTCTTAGATGACAAGCGAGACATTTTCAAAGGCAAAACCCCCCAAAAAGTCTGGTTGTCTTTCGGAAAAAGCATCTTTGGGACATTGATATATGTTGATGTTTTTAACTTTTTGGCATTATTAACCCAAGGGCTTTTCTTTTGAAGATTTCCAGTTGTGTCTTCTGTAGAGAACATATTTGAAACAATTGATCCTTTGATATTTTCCACCCCACAAACTAAGAGCAAAGAATAATAATTTATTTCTTCTGATGGTCTCTATTTCCCCATCTTTCTCATCAGGTCCAAAGGCCTCTCTCGGGGGCCATTCCTCAACATCTGGATGAAAGGAGCAAGCCCTTAAATCTTTCCCAGGATCGGCTTATTTGGAAGAACTCCCAGGAAAGTCGAAGTTTGGGCATCTCGCCAGGTAAGGGACAGTGCTCCTAAGATGCATGAAGTTCTTTCAAGAAAGTCCAGCTCTCTTTTGCACAGTGGTTAGGATGCAGTATTGCAGGCCAATTCAGCTCACTGTCAGGAGTTTGATCCTCACCAGTTCAAGGTTGTCTCAGCCTTCCATTCTTCTGAGTTTGGTAGAATGAATACCCAGATGGTTGGGGGCAATATGCAGACTCTGGAACCTGCTTAGAGAGGGCAGTAAAGTACTATGAGGTGGTATATAAGTCTCAACTACAAATGTTCTTCTTCATTGAAATGCTGCCATTTGTGATTTAGAATGAAGGGACCAGTGATTTTAGGCGTTTTATAACTATGTGGTTGTGGACTCAATGGTGGGATTCAGCCAGTTTGTACCAGTTCAGTAGAACCGGTAGTGTTCTGACCCCCCCTCGTTCCACACCAGAGCACACTCCGAGCCAGAGATAAATTACAGTATTTAATTAACAGACAAACATGTCCTTGACAGCAATCCAGCACAGACAAGCTTGGGCAGCAATAAACGCAGATAAGGCTTGGCAGCAATCCAGCCTGCCAAGCTCATAACAATGTTATCCGACATGTGTTGACTTCTGCAAAGAGGGGCGTGTGCACAGGTAGCTTTTTATAGTCTGGAGAGGAGCCTAATGACCACCAGCTGAGCNTAGTTCTGCTTTCTCCCTGTTGCTTGTCACCTTCTTGCCGCTTTCTCCCAGCAATGGACCAATTGTTTCCTTGACTTTTTTCTTGTTTTTAACACGTTGGAAGAAGCTTTTTTTGTTATTTTTTACTTTTGTCCCAAGCCTTTCTTCATTGTGTGACTTAGCTCTCCTCACTTCATCTTTTCAGGCTATTTGCTGATATTCTGCCAGTTATGTGCCCCCTTTTCCACTTTTTATATTTATCCTTTTTGTCTTTCAGTGTGTCAGAGAGTTCTTTATGCAGCCATGCTGGTTTCTTTTGAGAGCTGTTATTTTTCTTCTTTGTTGGTATTGTTCTAGACTGGGCTTTTATAATTTTATTTTTTTAAATTTCCCAAACTTCTTGAGCTTCTTATTCCCATATAAGCCCAATAAAACCAAACCAAACCAAACCCCTTGAGGATTCTCATCCATGGAATCCTTCCCAAGCACTCTCTTAAGTTTATTGAAATTAGCTCTCTTAAAATCCATTATATCTATTAAAGAATTTCCTAGGGAAAGAAAGTTGATGAATTAATTACTTCAAAAACCTTCAACCCCTGTAAAAAAAAAATCATCAACTTGTTGGGCTTCCTCAGGGAAGATTTTTAGAAATCATCGTAACGAATTTGAAGAAAAGACTAATGGATTGTGAACATCTAAAAACCGATTGTAGCTAATTTCAAGACAGGGATAAATTACAATTTCTCAAATTTTTGGAGCCAGATTACTGGAATATTGAAGAAGTAATCGTTCCATGGGAAGCAGGTGAAGAACAATTGCTCATATTTAATGATGTTTTAACTACCAAATTGATATTTATAATTATTGAGATTTTGTGGAAAAATTGTTTAAAAATTCCCAGAACTATGCAAGTCCTGAAAGCATTCAAAGAGCTAAAAATATTGTTAGAACAATTGCTATAAGTTCAGCAGAAGCAGGTTTTTCAAACAGGAACATGATATGTTCAGAGAAGTTACCTAACTGTTTCTTATATATCAAACATAATGACTATTAGTCTAATCGGCCTACGTCTAAAAGTAGGGGGGTCCTACTCCTACAGTGAAAAGTTGGTTAAGGATAAATCACCTTACGTAACAGTTTTAGTAGTTTTTGCCAGGTATTATATAATAGTTTTTCATTAATCTTTTAAAACTCTTATAGCAAAATCTAGTTTTCTGTACTTCTTTTATTGCTTTTATTTAAGTGTCAACCCTGAAGTGAACATAGCTGAGGTCAATTTGGAGGCTTCAGGGTTGACACAGAACAGAGGGAGGGCGGGGAAATAGATGGGATTTTGTAGTCAAAATAACCGAACTTTCCTGCGGGAACCCAAGGACATTCTCACAGGTAGCTGGCCAGAGGAGGAAGGAATTTACCAAGCAACCGGCCAGCTCTTGGATCAGACAATGTGACCAGTGACTTGGGTGAAAGGGTGATAGGGTTAATTAGGTGAAAGCCAAGAAAACTTTTAGAGTCGGCTTCCACCAGTTGTGCCAATTTGATGTATCCAATAAAACTGTTTTTTGAGGAACTTGCCTGCTTCTGAGTTCTAATTTGTATGGATGCACCTCTTGGAATACTGACATTAAGCATTAAATGCATGANGTAGCTTTTTATAGTCTGGAGAGGAGCCTAATGACCACCAGCTGAGCACAATTACCTCCTGTAATTGTTCCTGACGCCTAGTAGCTCTTTGATGGCATGCATCCAGGAACAACTCACTCTCCGGCTCACTCTCCCTTGTCTCCCCCCACTGGTCCATGGCTCAGGTGCCTCATGGTGACCAACCAGCCTCTCTGTGCCCTGCTCGGAGTCAGAACCCTGTCCAGGGTCCTTCACATCCTCCAGAGCCGACTCATAGGGCCCCTCGCTGTCGGATCTGGTGGCAGCTCCAACAGCTCCTGCTGGGCCACAACAGGTAGTTACCTTTTTGTGCAGTTCAGCGAACTGGCTGATCCCACCACTGCTGGCCCCACCCCACCCTTCCCAGCCACTCCTTTTCTCGCCTTGCCTGCCTTGGCCACTCGCCTAGTTTTTGATGTTATCTCACATGTACATGGTTACCCGTAGTGCTCAACTTACAACCACAATCGAGTCCAAACTAAATCTTTTTTTTTTTTTACAGTTGACCTTAACCGGATGAAAAGGCCACAGAATTTTTCAGTAAGGATCAGTAAGAAACCAAGATGGGAATCAGTTGTAGCAGAAATGGCTTTGGATGATATAAAACAGTCACAAGCACCACCACGCCAACCACTCCAACTTGGAGAAAGCAGCCCGTCGGATATCGAAATAAATAACGATACCTCCAAAATTGAAACCAGTCTACCTGAATGCTGGACACTGCAACAATATAACAGTTTCAGAGGAAAATATGACGGACTGGTAATTTCTAACAAAAAGTTAGGTTGCAAGTATTGTGCAAAACATGACTTCCTAAAAATGAAAAGTATTCATGTGTCAAAAGAATGGAAATACTTTCAGATTGAGGCATCAGGGAGAAATAGAGAGGTAAAACAAGCTTCTCTAAGGAAAAAAATGAAAGAACATTTTTCATCAAAAGCTCATAATATTTGTAAAGCGAACATAAAACAACGTGAGGAGGCTTCAGTAGCAAAATATTTACAGCCTGGCACAATGTAAACCATTTTCAGACATAGAAGATGGATTAGCTATGGGAATAGGATTACATTCATGTAAAACTGCAGTGAAAATAGTTGATTTCATTGCAAATGAAATTAAAAAACAAATTATTTACTAAAATTATTGAAAATAAAATATGTTTGATTATTGACGAAGCCTCAACAATATCTTGCAAACCAGTTCTTATACTTCTCTTAAAAGTTGAGGATTCAGTTGCATCACCAACTATTTTCCTTGAGTTTGTTGAACTGGAAAAACAAGACGCAGAGACAATATGTTCTTCAATTATGGAAAGTTTAAATAAAGTTAGGCTTATTGAGAACTATCTGAAGCAAAATTTAATAGGATTTGATGGTGCCAGTTACGAATCCATCTGGTGGTGATGCTGTCTAACCCACATTTTAGCTTATGGTCTACTTTATCAAATGCCTTATTGAAGTGCATGTAAATTATATTGACAGCATTCCTCTGGTCTACTAATTTTGTCACTTTGTCAAAGAATGCAATAAGATTAGTCTGGCATCATCTGTTTTTGGCAAACTCATGTTGGCTTTTGGTTATTACTTTGTTTACTTCTAGGTGTTCACTGATTCATTGCTTGATTATCTTCTCCAGAATCTTCCCTGGCATTGCGGTCAGGCTGATAGGTCTGTAGTTTCCTGGATGTATTTTTTCCTCATTTTTTGGAGATGGGAAACACATCAGCTCTCTTCCAGTCCTCTGGCAGTTCCCCGGTTCTCCAGAACCTCTGAAAGATATAGTTCAGTGGTTCTGAGATCTCATCTGCCAGTTCCTTCAGAACCCTGGGGTNCGAACCGATTCTACCGAATAGGTGCGAACTGGTAGGAACCCACCTCTTGTACCACTGGTCTAGATTTCTTACGAAAAGAAGAAATCTTTTTTCCAAGTTAAAGTCAGACACAACCTAATGCAAATGTGTTTGTGTGAAGCTTGGAAATTATGTTAAAAACAACCGCTCCGTATGCATTTTCTTAACGATTCAGCATAATTAAGAAAATGAAATGTATGCAAATGCGCGCATGCATACCTATTAAAGATTTCTTAATACCGCACTGATTTCTTTATTTCCCCCCGCCCCTTTACATTGGAGTTCATTAAAAAGTAATCCGAACACAGCAATAGAGCAGCAAGAACCGAAATTTGGGAAGGAAGGGTTACAAAAGGCCTGTGTTAAATTTGCCGAGGCATATATTTTTTATCCCTATCTTCCCATCCGACCTAATCATTAGCCCTCCTTTTAATTCTTGCCACCAGTTAATTGGATCCCCCCAAGAAACTCAATATTCAAAGATGCTTAATTAGAGGGATTTACCAACCCTGCTTTTATAACTTTGCAGACATCTTCCCTTAAATTGTCCTTGTTTGTCATACAGTCAAACAGTAGGGAAGGCTTCATTTTTATTTTATTTCTTAAAGAAAAAAGCCACAAAAACACATGTGGGGTGTTTTTTTTGCTTTTTTGTTTAAAGAGCTCAAGGAAGGATCAGCTTACCAAATGACTTAAGGGAGGCCTGGATAGAGGTAGGTATTTTCTTTTTCCCATGCCGTTCCTTTCAGAAATCCGTGCTGGATTATAGGGGCCTCCTCGGTGTACAATGGGCTATAGGACAGCCATTTCATCTTTTCAGCTCTGCCTTGTCACTCTTGGCATTTGAGAAACCTTCCATTGAAACCTGACAGGAACAGGGGCCGCTCCTCCATTTCTTTTCAGAGGAGGCCGTGTGATTTGAAATGCTTACTCGGGAGTAAGATTGGCAGTGTTGGGAGAAATGTCCTTCTGGGTTCAGTTCTGTTAGGCTCCAGGAGTTTCCCTGAGTCACTGAAATGCCAAAGCATATCAGCTTTTATGTTTGGCCATAGCAAAAGCTGGGTTGTTGCAGAAAATGACAGGCTCTAGACTTCTCAGGATACAGGAAAAGTTTATTTGGCAGCCAGGTTCAGAAAGCCAGCGAAATGGCTAGCATTGCACGTTCTGAACANTCTAAGCAGTTTACAGAGTCAGCCTCTTGCCCTCAACAATCTAGGTCCTCATTTTACCCAGCTCAGAAGGATGGAAGGCTGAGTCAACCTTGAGCCTGGTGAGATTTGATTTGCCAAACTGCTGGCAGCTGGGGATCAGCAGAAATAGCCTGCAGTACTGCACTCTAGCCCCTGAGTCACCGCATCATGGTAATTCTCCCTCCTGCTATTTTCTTCATAATAATGGCCCTGTGAGTTGGGCTGAGAGTGACTGACTGGTCCAGGGTCACCCAGGAGACTTTCATGCCTAAGGCAGTACTAGAACTCACCGTCTCCTGGGGATCGACTGAAACTCATTCAGCTAGCTTTTGTTTCTAAGACAGGATTAGAATTCACCATCTCCTGGCGATTGGCCCAAAGTTATCCAACCAGCTTTCATTCCCACAGTGATACTAGAATTCACCATCCCCTGGTGACTTATTGGCCCCAAATCCATCCAACCAGCTGTCATGCCTAAAGCAGGACTAGAATTCACAGTCTCCTGGTTTCTCGCCTGATGCTTTAGCCATTACACCAATCTGGCTCTTAGAAAAGAATCACAGAACAGAATAACAGAGTTGGAAGGGACCTTGGAGGTCTTCTAGTCCAACCCCCTGCTCAGGCAGGAAACCCTATATCAGATAACATATAAGATTGATAGCATTTAAGAAGTCCAGAAAAATAATCGGAATTAGGAGCACCGTAACACCCTGATACACACACACACACACACACACACACACACACAAACTCACTCACTCACTCACTCACTCACTCACTCAAATATAGTGAGCAGAAACACAATCCACTACGCAATAAAATAAGACAGCTTTTAGGCTTGTTCGAATGGTTAGCTTAATCAGTTAATTGTTAGATCAACCAAGCACATAACTGTCACCCCCGTTTCATTTTCTGTGGTCAGTTTCATGCCTTGAAATTGATGTTCTAGCAGACTAGTAAATTACTGCCTTAGCTTGGAATAACATTTATATCAATGTAACAACTCAGTCTATAGGGAAGTAATTTACTGAAACCAGTTAAATGCTACACAAACATCATCTAGAGAGATTAATTGACTGTTATACTTTGATTGCTTTGCGGTCTCTCGGTGGCAGTTTGCAAATGAAAACTGATCTTTTTGTCATTACCGAAATACCAATAAAAGGAACCGAACAGAATTGTTTACAACTTCATCCTACCAACAGCGAGATCCTTTTTTTGCCAAGTTAGTTAGTTTATGCTAGTGGTTGTTTTGATAAAGAAACGACTCACCCAAACGATGGGTGTGGTTTTCATACATGAATAGACAGATGCAAATTTAGAAAGAATGACGATCACTTCATAGAAGTGAGTGCCTGTAGAGAGTGGGGGGGGGGAATCACACACAGAGAAACACAGGGCTGGAAGGGATCTTAGAGGTCTTCTAGTCCAAACTTGTAACCGAGGCAGGAGACTTTATTCCATCCTGCTTTGAGAGGGGTGGGAGAGACATGCTTTTGAAATATGAGTCTTTTTTTTTTTTTTTGGGGGTTTTAGGAAAACCATATTCCCCTGCTGGAATGACCTGCAAAAAGCCCAGATCTTAACCCAACTGAAAATCTACGGAGTCGGCTAAAGAAACTTGTTAGTCAGAAGTGACCCAGCAATAAAATCCACTGTTCAAAGTTAGA